CCGATTCCCAGCCCTGGCAGCAGCCGCCGGGGTCTCCCCCCTGCTCGGTCCCTTCCGCAGGGGCGAGGCTGGAGGCTGGCCTGCGGGGCCGCTGGGGTTCGGCTTTCTTTGGCGCCCCTCCCGCCCTCCGCCCGTGTTTTCAATGAACAGGCAGGCAGAGGTGTGCACCGTGGGAGCCAGATGGGCTGGGGGTGGGAGAAGGACCGGGCAGCAGGCTGGCGCGGTTTCTGGTGGAACCGGTTCGGGAATCTCTCCCAAGGCCCCACCCGCACTGGGAGCGGGTTCTGCAGACAGGTCTCCACTGGGAGGGGGTGAGCGAGAGCCTGCACCCATGGGTGCATCCAGTGAAGGGCAGGAGGGAGTCTCTTCTCCTGGTGGGAGGTGGGCACGCGCTGGCGACCCTGAACTCGGCTGTCCTTGTTGGCACTCCGGTGGGCAGAGAGCTCCAAGCGAGGTTTGGATGGGGCCCAGCCAGGGGTTAGTGCCTTACACCAAGAAGGTGGCCTAGTGCCCGCCCCTGGAGGAAGTAGATGGACCACCGTCATGCTTGGAGGGAGCCTTGAGCTGTCCTCCTTTCTTGGCCTCACCTCTCCAGGGACGCCCAAACCTCTGAGTCACCCCACCAAGTCTAACAGGCTGGGGCGAGGGGAGTAGAAGAGGAAGGGAAGATGATTGAGGGGAGGAAGAAAAAGGGTGGGGACATGGGCTAGACTCCAGTGCTTTCTAAATTTCTTGGCTATCTTTATTCTTTATTTTTTTCTAAGAGATTTATTGAGAGATAATTTCATACATCATGTAGTTCACCCATTTAAGGTGCACCATTTAATGGTGGTTAGTATATTCACAATTATGCAACAATCGCCACAATCCATTTTAGAACATTGTCATCAACCCCCTTCCCAAAGAAACCCCATACCCTTTAGCCATCACTCCCCAACTCCCATCCCCCAGCTCTAGGCAACTAATCGGCCCTCTGTCTGTAGGCTGGTCTATTCTGGACATTTCCTATAAATAATTGGGATCATATAATATGTGAGCTTTTGTGACTGGCTTCTTTCACTTAGTGTAATGTTTTCAAGAGTCATCACGTAGCATTGTAGCATGTATCAGTACATATTTCATTCCTTTTTATTCCTGAAGAATATTCCATGGTCCTAGTACTATTTAAGCAATTGATGTCCTCCCTTTTCCTTACCCTTCCCTGCCCAAGCGAGTGTGTAGAGTGGCATGCAGACACATGATGCTTCCAGTGTTTATATCAAATCTATTACGCAGAGCTAACTTTGAATTATTTAGTAAAGGCTAAATAATGAATTTTGACATTTTTTATAAATTGCCTGTTTATTTTAACTTAAGTAACAGCTGTGATTCATTGCTTAGTTGACTGCAAAATTGAGAATATAATTTTATTTTACAGAGAGTTTTTAAGGGGAAAAGGAAGTATTTACATTTTTGTTTAAGAAATCTATTTTTCTTTTCATCTGCAGAGCACCTTTTACAGTTATCAATGCCTTCTTGGGGGGGGGGCTTTTTATAGAAAAACTGAGGCTAAATTTGGAGACTCTCATTTTATAAGGTGTGGAATATGCAATTAATGAAGATAACAGCAGGTGACTACGCTGAATTATCTATGATTTACAAGGTGATAATTAGTTATATAAAAGAACAGAAGGAAGGAAAGCAAAGGATTTATTTCAAAATAATAGGATTTGTATTAGAACAAATTGAATGAAATTCAGAAGGCTCAAGTTTTATACTCATATGTCAAAACAATCTAGCTAGTTTTCTTGTTGATTAATTATGGTAACGTTGTTATTTCTATTAGCTCCTAATTAATCAGTGTTCACAGGGGTGTGTGTGGTGCTTTTATAACCAGGTGCCTCCTCATCAGCTGAGTGGGGGAGGGGGATGCTTGGAGGAGGGCCCTGGAGAGGCCTGCAACAGTAGGCACAGCTGATGCTCAGTCCAGTCACCATGAACATTGAATAAATGAGTACTGAACCCGTGCTTCTAGAGGAAACTCAGAGTTAGGGTTCCTGTGAGCCTGAACATTTTGATCTACTGGTGTGTTATGTGTGTTGTTGTATAAAGATGCCTAATTTAATATACGTCGTTAAATCCTTAACACTGAACTCACAACCAGCATAACTTCTTCAAAAGGCACATCACAGCCTTCCTGTGCTTGAACTCACTCGACAGCACTTCGGCACTATGCCCGAGGCCATTTTAAAGAGCGAAATCACCCACCAAAAGCACAAAAATGCTGAAAACATGGCACTACATAGATTTCAAAAAGGACACCTTTTTTACTGTATGAGAGCTGAACCTAGAGGGCAGAGCTTCGCTTTGTTTAACCTCAGCTGGGAACATGTGCACCCAGGGGCTCACATTGTTCAGTGCTCTACGCATGCACATGTCTACCAGCGATGGAGAGGGTGCTGTGAGCGTTGCTTTTGGAGTTGCAAACACATACTAGCAAGTTGGTGAGTTTGCAAATACAGAGTCTATGGATGATGAGGATTGGCTGTCAATGCTTCCTACCATAAGTTACATAAGTCACTTCCATCCATGTTTCATTGACCAAAGCAAATCATAAGGCCTTGAGAACACGGTCACGCTGTGTTCTCAAAGAACTCAAAGAACTGAGGCAAGCGCCAATGTTTAACCCTGATATATTTAGTCACCAATTGATTATTTGATATTTGTGGCAGAGTTTATTTCCCAAAAGTAGTTGCAACATTAAGTCCTGTGCAACATGCTGTTCTTATAATGTGACTTTGCCACACCTTCCACCGAGAGGTGAAGATCTATGTTCCCTTTCCCTGAAACTCGGCAGGTGCGTGACTACAGTAGAAGTCGCACTGTGTGATGTCTGAGGGTAGATCATTAGAAACTTCCATCTAGTTCTCTTTGGAACACTCACTCTTAAAAAGCCAACAACCATGCTGGGAGTAAGCCCAAGCAGCTCCATGGAGGCCATGTGTGCGTCGCTAGCAGAGGTCCTGGCTGACAGTGGCATCAACCACCTCACGTGTGAGTGACCAAGGGTTCAGGCAACTCCAGGCCCCCACCATTGAGTCACCTTGGGGCATCCTCAGTTCTTCCAAGCCGAGGCCCCAGAGGTCGTGGAGCAGACACAAGCTAACCCCACAGAAGCCACAGAATCTGTGAGCATAACAAATTGTTGTTATTTTAATGCCACTAACTTTGGGGTGATTCGTTTTTCGGGAATAATAACTGGAAGAGTATCTTCTATGTGTAGTGCTGTAGAGGTGCTGGTGGGTGTTAGCAATGAATAAAATTTGGTTCTACTCCACATATTTTTTCAATCAAGTCATTCATTACTCTGGGGTCATTCTTGCACCCACAATGTAATTAACTATTTGGTCTGTGCTTGTTTGTTAATCCTCACCGGAGGCTATAATTTTTCCATTGCTTTTTAGAGAGAGAGAGAGAGGGAGGTAGGGAGAGAGAGAGAAACATTGGTGTGAGAGAGACACATCAATCGGTTGCTTCCTGCACATGCCCAGAGAGGGGCCAGGGAGTGAACCCAAGACCCTTTGGTGTTTGGGCAGAGGCTCTAACCACTGAACACACCTACCAGGGCAACTATTTGGTCTTTTTATTGTTACCACTGTCTCAGATATAATGACTATAAAGTTGGTATTCTAACAGGAAATGTAATCTTTTGTTTGCCCAGCTTCTCCTTTATTTATTTATTTATTATTTATTATTTTTTTTTAGTGAGAATTATAATACTCATCTATTATTAAGACACAAAACAACCCAGCAAGCCCCTTTTATGCTAAGCATTTTGCTCAGTGCCTGACACATAATTGCTTGATAAATGTTGAATGAGTGCCGGTTAGAATTTATCAGACACATAGACGTGGTTGAGTGTTCTTAGGTGCACCTGTGAACCACCCTTCTCATGGGCCACAGAAGATGAAGAGCCATTTATTGAATGTGGGGTTGAGGATAAGAAAGCTAGGGTCTGAAGCTGGGAATGTCTTTAAAAATTTAATTCTAATCAATATAAGGCTTGATATAACTTCTGAAACTGTGGTGAGTGTTTATAAAAAAAAGAGACGCTATTCCTGTGACTTTTAAATGTTCATGTTTTTGAAGTAAAAGGAGACAACCCAATACCCCACAACTAGACAGCTCATATTCTCAAAAAAGCTCTAAAAATAAACTAAATCCTTTATACAGCTAGGAGGAAATGTCTCTAATAGGTCACGTGATTGAAGACCATTTCCTAAAAATGTAGGGCTGCTAAGATATTCCCTTAAGCTCTTAGGTATGGGGCTTTTGCTGTTGCCAACACCATTGCATTATTCCCCGATTGGGACAAATTACAGAATTGGTGGGAATTTGACTTGACTACCTAATGACTTTTTTAGAACAGAGGTGTTTCAGTGCTCCCCATTCTAGGAAGTGGAGCCACTCTGCCCCAGTCTTGAACCAGTCAGTTCTCAGCCTATTTATGGGTCCTGTATAATGGTCTCCCCAGGCCGTTCTACACCTGAGTTTGAGTCTCGTGTTCATAATAAGTTCCAGGCATGGGAGAGGTCAGTGGCAAGATGGAGGAAGCTTAGCAGTAATGCCTGTGACATTTCACCTTCTAGGTCAGTGCTCCTCAAGCTGTCTGTAATGAAGAACCCCCTCCCTTTAAAGACAATTCTGATCCATCATAAACCAATATATGATTCTACTGCACGAGACTAGCTACAGCTCACTACCTATTTCTTAACTCACAAGCTCAAGAATAATTTACTTGGTCTATATCATGCTCAGTGAGATGAATCCACTGGTGATGTGCATGGGTTTTATAAAAATGTTAAATTTCTATGCAGTCTTTACACACCCACTGTCAATTGCTCTAATTATCTTATCTGGGACCGGTAACTAATAGTTTGTGAGCCAGCACCATTTCATGGGCCATGCTTCGAAGAGCACTGATTGAGGTGACCTTCCCAGTGTCCTGTCCAATTGAAACCTGCCTTGCAGTACCTCTGGGGTCTACTCTCTGGATAGCTGGTTTGCATTCACACTTAAGGAATATTATTTGCAGATTATATTATTTTTATTCTATATTCATATAACTACAGGTTTTACATTAATTTAAATTCGTATTTAAATATATTATATATTTGCATTTTAGTTTGGTTTTGAGTTTTTATTTAATGTTTAGGAATATGGGTTTTTCCCCCCAGGTCCATATTTATTATATGAATTGAATATTCCATGATGAGTTGACATTAGTTTCCCCAGGCATGAGGACTTAATGGATGAGGTACAGACAGGTTGCTTTACAGGAATCCATTAATGCTGCTTTCCCAGCTGGAGTTTTTGTTGGTTTTTTTTTAGACTTTCACAGGATAATCAAAGCAATGTCTCTGTATGTGGCCAGTGCATAATCCATTCTGCTTGTGCCAGTATAAGAGTTGAAATATTTGTTAATACCAGTGAACTGGAATTGGGCATCCGTTTCTGGGCCAACCATAGTTTCAATCTTGCCATAGTCACAACTTCTGGAGTCTGT